GTTACTACTAGTAAGGCACCTGTTACTACTAGCGATGCACCTGTTACCAATAGCTTCTTGTTACTACTAGTAAGGCCAGGAGCCCCTAGTAGCGTCCTTGCTCCTAGTAGCTAGTAGCGATGCAGGAGCCCCTAGTAGCTTCTTGTTACTAGTAGTATGGCCAGGAGCTACTAGTAGCTTCTTGCATGCCCTTTGCTACTAGTAGCGTAACTGATATCTTGGATTCTTTTGGGCCTCGATCATGCTTTGTTATTATTGCTCACGCCAATAGCGGTCCCGCGGAATTAAATAGTTTTTCACACGAAAGCGTTTCGCGAACAGAAGCGGGTGGGGGGGGCAATGGAAGCAATTCGTCGGTAACCAGGTCTTTGCTTCCTTCCCTCAGCAAGCAGGTCACCCCTGTGCATTGCCTGTGAGTTTGGCTCACATCATGGCTCCATCAGGGAATTTGTCATGTCTCTGACTCTGGATATCAAGGCTTCAAGAGCTGTAGGCCTCTAGATCTCCAGATCTAGACCTCCACAAGTCTATCTCTCTGGATGTCTAGTCTAGGCGTTCGGATCTTTCTAGATCTCGAGACCTCTAGACCTCTTCACCAGGACCATGTGTCGAGCGCCCCACAGTTTCTGCGAACCGGAAAGTGAACCAAACTGCAAAAAAAACTCTAGACCTCTGGATCTCAAACCTCCATGGATTTCATGACCTCTAGACCTCTAGATCCTTAGACTTCTAGACATCTCAAACTCTAACGACTGCAATGCCTTCCTTCACTTATCTCACGCCTCCTTCGGCTGCGCCGATGCTGGTCCAGCACGCGTGCCGCGTAACCATGTACTCACGTGGAATGGCACACCTTTGAATCAATGACGTGACGTCCGTTGCAACATCACTGCGAAAGTCACCTGAATGTTCTAGACCTCTAGACTGTGAGACCTCTATTTTCTGCTCCTCTAGACCTAGAACTCCCATACCTCTAGAACACTACTAGACCTAGGTCTCTAGGGGTCCAGGTATCTAGAACTCCAGACCAGATCTCTTTGTGTCTCAATATCTAGATAGACCTTTAGACCTCTGGGCCTCTCGACCCCGGACCTGTAGATCTCTCTGGAGTTGCTAGACCTTTTGCTTCTACACCACTAGACCTTAAAGCACTGTTAGGGGTCTCTTGCCGGGATATTAAAACGCTAGTTTCTCCAGCACTGTTGGTTTCTGCTTGAATTTCAGGCTTTTAGAGCATGATTAGCGCAGTGCATCGTCCATCTCATGGGAAAAAAGTTGAAAAACACGTGGAGATAAAACACTGGCAAGACATGGAGGGACCGTTTTCATCGAATTACCATTACATATTGAAAACAAACACTCGAATTCAGCGGGCCGCGAACAGCGGCGTGACCGTTGAGCAATTTGGTGAGCAACGTTACCATTCGACCCTTCGACCCAAGGCTCAGCCGAAGAAAGGTAAGGGCGCGCCGCCAGCACAGGCACGGCTCTGATTTTCAGGGTCCAGTGGTCCAGTCCATGTAAGGACATACGGTGAGTACAGGTACGCTGCATCAGTCATACAGTGGGTCCATGGAGGGCAAATGCGAAGGTCTTTTCAGGACCACCCAGCGATGGCCACATCCTGGCGCCAGTTGTAGAAAGAGGCTCTTGATGTTATGGGGGACTGTGGAGCGCGACAAGCCAACAAAACAAAACATGTGATCCGCGAGTTACCACCATGTTTCAGGCACAGACCACTCCTGCTCCAACCTTGGGACAGCGATGGCAGTGGCAGGCCTGCTGTCGCTTGCAGCAGTCTTGAGGATTTGAGTTTGAGATTCCAAGAAGTGTGACAATCCATAGCCAAACCAAATTGCTGAACAAACGCCTTTCATCCCCTTTTTAAAGCAAACAGGGACCTCTTGGGCTTGCCGCGATGCTGGTTTCAAAAACTTGAACATCTTCGGGGAGTGCCATGTTTGCAGATGTTTTTTGCTTAAACCAAGATGACCTCGTAACCCGACAATTCTTGTACAATGTCATACTGGGGTGTGTTCACCTGCTTGTTTGGGAAGTATTCAATTACGCACCCTGGTTATGGGTTGATGGATGTATGTTGATGTACGCGGCTTTTTTGCCTTACTGCTTTGGGTTGTACCTTTGGCCAAAGCTGTCCATCTTGTGTAACCCTTTTAACACCTTTATTTTTTAAGTTTCCAGTTCATTCTTCATCTTGCGGTACATAGCAACCCGAGTTCAGGTAGACAAACAACGGGACTAGTCTTGACCAAAAGGGCCATGTGCAAACCTTCACTTCAACAACCAAAGTTCATCTCCTTCCTCTCTTTTCTTTTGCTTTAATTTAAGACCCCTGAGACACACATATATATATATATACACGTATATATATAGTTATATATGGTATATATACTATATATATATATGTATTCAACTACATATCCACATCTTACACAAAAGCAACATATATATATATATATATGGGCGTGAGTTCATACCCACCATCCGACGGGTCGTGGATCCATCGGCCCAGCGAGGCAGCGTCCGAGCTCCCGAACTGCCTGCACGAAGACGAGGCCATCCAGGTGCTGCAACGCGAGACCTGGGAGGCGCGGGACATCGAGTTTGACTCGTCAAGTATGTGTCACTAAGAGAAACCAAGCCTTCTGCGGAATTAGGCAACACCTATAGACGGATGAGCACTGTTTTGAAATAAAAGATATAAATGATGCTGAGTGATCCGAGGAGACTGTGCTGAGTGATCCCAACGCTGATCTATTTCCAGAAGTGGAGAAACTGATTTGTGCCTTGATGCGCAAGTAGTGGCTTGCAGGAGTTGGTTGATCAGCGCAGTGGGGGAAGCACATCGCAGTCATTTCAACCACAATGCGTGTGTGATTTGCTGGAGCTTTCGATGCGAAATCAGGCAGATGAAGAGGGATCATTGGATAGTTTGTGATGGGAAACATCCTATACTCCCAATTTAACACATTTGTGCACCCGCATGGTCCCCAGTGATCCTGGTGCCGAGTCCGGAGTTGGTGGAATGCCTCCCGAGCCGCGGTGGTGCGCAGCCATCGAGAGAAGTGTCGCTCTCAGCCCACTGGGATGAGCAAAGGCATGTTAATAGCACACTATATTGGGCCTTTCTTCCTTTTCTTTGTTCTTTGTGTCTATTAGTGATGGCCTTCAACCTAATAGCAATGGCCTCCAACCTAAGACAAGCACTTGCATTGATCAGCTGACCACCTTTCTTCACGAACTAAGTGGTGATGGATCAAATCTTGGAGTCCTCTACCATACAGGTTGACCATCCAAGTCACGGTCTCGTGGTTTGGACCCACAGTGGCTGTGGTTTGGATCACCAGTGGATTGATCTGAAAGTCGAATCATGTCGACTCATTCCAGGAGAATCTCCAAGTCGCTTCATGTCGATTTCGGATCTAGCTCAGAGGCTCAGATCCAGCTCATTGAGGTGATTAAATCACACCTCGAATCACACAACTAATCAATACGAATCACATACAATCTCATATAATATATCCATATATATATACAGTATACAGTTGGCATTGATTTGCTTTCCTTGAGCTTTGCGTTCGGGCCGTGAGACGGGCCTGTTTCCGGGTCAGGGTGGACCTCACGGCGCCAGTGAGGCGCTCGGCCCGGCCGCCCGGTGAGACTTGAGAAGCCAGAGGATTCCAGCAGCTTCAAGGGCCATGTTCGATGAGTTTTGTTTTTCTTTACTGTGTCTGCAAAATTAAATCATGTCATGGAAAAGCACTGATACGGAATGACCATGAAGAATCTGATGGAATTCAACTGGAGTCACATCAATGAAGTCAAAAGGGAAGGGCGATTGAAATTCAATCGTAAATTGAGGGTCAAAAGTTAGCTATCAGGAAGAATTACTGTTAATGAACTTGGAGGCAACGGAGACGTGGGCAGCTTAGATAGGGCATTCACTATTCGATTTGGAAGGATTTGAGTGGTATTCGATTCATGCGTACATGCTTATGCACCGGCCGGTCCCCGGCATGGGCGAGTTCGGACGTGCATCGTTTTTTGATTCTTGTGGACATCATCCTCTGCATGACAAATACTTGGTTCGCGTGTTGAACCCATCCTCCACATTCCTCCACCACCAATTCAACATATTGAAAGGTGTTGAATTCAAAGTTGTCGAGTGTGGACCGCATCTGAGGTTTCTGAGGTGAAACAGCAGGCGGAGGAGCCGGGTGATGCTGAATAGCGTCCACAGAGTTCGTTCCATCGGCGCTCGCGCGATGGCAGGAGTTGCTGCGGTGGTTAGATCCCAAGTACGCGCACCCCGCCCCAACGCCGATGTCTTTCCAATGGGCGTGGATCCCGAGTTGAGGCGTTGGCAAATTGACATGTTGTCAATCAACTGGGCTCGGAACTCAACAAAGCGGAAG